AAGCTCAGCCTTTCTAGGTAGTCCAGCACAGAGGCGTTTTCCTAAGAGACATATTATGGTTGAAAGTGCATAAGGGTTCCAAAGTGTAGTTATTTCTGGCAGGGACCCAACAGCTAAACAAAATTAACTTAACCACTGCCCCTTCTCTCATTGCTTCTAACCTTTGGGCAAATCTTTTCAGGAAACCCTGAAAAGGAATTCAAAACCCTAAAGGAGACCTTTACCTTTTTTTTTTTTTCTTCCCTCTTTCCTCTCCAGAGTCACAGACTTTCTCTGCCTTTCCAAGCTCTTCAGGCAATGCTCTTCCACTGCCCCAGCCAAGCCTCTTCTAAGCTGGCCGAGGACAAATGCTCTCTTCCGTTTCCCTCGCTCCTCCCTTCCCCTTTATCAATTCTGTTAGATGGTCAAAGACCCTGCCTGGTTACCAACCCACTTGCCAGATCAGTTTTCTCAGTTTGACGCCTTTCTTCGCAGACTTGTCAGCCCACGGGGACTGGCTCAGCATTCTTAACTAGCACAAACGCTGCACGTTCCTATATACGTGCGTACAGATGTATCACTTGTTCCCTATTCCTCGCTCCGGGTGACTGTCTTTGGGGACAGGCTAATAACCAAGGTCTAACATACAATTCAAAAGAAACCAAACCACTTAATACTTTTTTTTTCCCTAAGGTGTCCACAATCTTTTGATATTTTCTGTTAGTTTTATACTCCTTCCATTTGTCATTATTCTGCTGGGATAATCCCTAACAAACCTCTTGGAGCTAGCAACTAAACTGCGTTAAAATTCTACTCTATTATATATTTTTAGGAAAACCATCTCTTTGAATAACAGCTCATCAATTTGTTTGTTTGTCTGGGGAAAGACATGCCAGAAGATAACAGTTACCAGTGAAGAGTAACAATTTTAGATTTGGATCTACTGAGATTTAATTGCAACAGAAGGCGATGTGAATTAAAAGTGACCTTGAATTGATAAATGTGTGCTAAAACAAAATAAGTTTATTAGCAAATAATTTAAAAAAGTGAATAGTCTTTAAAGATGCTAGGTATAAGAGGAAAACTAAGGGAAGCAAAAGTCTGCTGTTAACAAAATAGTAAGTATGATACACCTTCTTGCTTCAGTCCTGACAGAAAAATATGTGGCTTATAAAAATGTATTTTAACAGGAGAATACAAGCCAGAATAAGGGAAGAGCAGTGGTTAGTAAACATGAGATAGCTGAGTTCAGATTGACAGGGCTGGTTCAAAGAAACTAATCAAGGCTCTCACAAAGCATATAGCTGTTAACCCTGTAGATGACAAGAACCTAGAGTTCAGAAAGTTCAGCAGGAAGGCGGTAGGCATACTAGCAGGAATCTGAAGAAAAGCAAAAAAAATTATGACCGTTTAAGAAAGCATGATCTTAGGAAAGATTAAAAGGCCCAGAAGATTAAAAACAGGCAAACATATTTTTTTGCCTTTATAAATCAAGGAAATCATGTCAGTTTAAATTCAGTATCCCAAAGATGCTGACTTGTGTCAAAGACCTCAAAATCACAACTGATCTGCAAAGAGCTATGGGGGGGCGGGGAAGGCAAAACCCAGCCCAAGTTTGTTGAGAAGAATCTGTGTAAATAGTCAAACATCCTCCTTTGGCTGGAAGATTAGCCTAATTAAAAACAGGGGATATAGAGGTGCAAACAGAAGAGGTTTAGAAATAATTTTGACAAATTTCTCACATTCAAATCTCAGAACAAACTCAAGAGAATGTATTCTAAATATTATGACTACTAGGTAGGCATAAAAGGAGTTGAAAACTTACACTAAAAGTCTATTAAATAATTGGAATATAACATAAGTTTATTAAAAGCAAAAAAACCTGCGTGACCCCAACTAGGTCTGGGTTGCAAATACAGACGGAACTGAGCGTTATAAATTGCAAATGTGGTTGGGAATTATATTTCATTTGCGATAGACGCACAAAGCTCTATGTATAGTATTTGACCACTGTATGGAAGTTATGCAGCCAGGCAGCAACACAGCAGGGCAACATGGGCATTAATACCATAAACTGATGAGCTGGCAGTGTGACCCTATTGGATGGGCGAGAACTACAATCCTCATTCTGGCATGCGTTAACGGGACTGGCACGAGCAAGAGAACAGATTAGTTCTATGCACCCAGGGAAGAAAGGTGATACACTTTAACACGGGGAAAGAATTAATAATCCAGCATGGTTTATGTTAAAAAGGTTGCTGAAGGTATATGGGAAGACTTCTAATATGTAAAAATAGTTGGTTAACTGTTCTAGTTAACGAAAACTCAATCTTAGAGGTAGCATTTTATATACGCACAATTTACAGAAGCGATGATGTGTGTAAGGGAAAGCTTTTTAAGCAATAACATGCAGATTTACCGCAAAGGGCTATGCTGGCATGCTGTGGAATCTCCAAGGTTCCAAAAGAATCTGTATTTGACTCTGATGTCCTTTAAAATAGTATGGGTATAAGTGATACTGCCACACTACAGGAGGGGTGGATTGGTGTCCAGCCAGTCTGTATGTTTCTAATTCTATGAGGTTGTTTTTGTCAGGGATTCTTTAGACAGAAAAAAAGTTTTTCTGCCCAAGTGGTTACCGCTCCTGTTCCGTACTTGTTTGTTATTATATCAGTTAGTGTTAATTTTATCAGAAAAGTTAGAAAAATATGGAAAGTATGTAGAGTGGAAAAAACAGCTGACTGAAGACCCCCACACAACTCGCCCTCCCCTGGTGCATGCTCGCACGTCTCAGCGTGAAGCACTGAGAAAGGCAGAAGCAGCAGTAGCAGGACGCCTGCCTAGTGAGTGCTCGGCTTCCTGGGGACGGCTGCACGCCACGAGGCTGTGAAGTACTTCTGGCCAATCCAGACTGGCAGAGTGTCTGGTGTATGTCAAACTAACCCACAGCGCAAGAGATGCATCTCTTTCTTTGCAAGGCTGTTAGCCTGAACTACCTTGCTGCACTAAACAAGACTAATTTTGGTAGCAGTAAAATTGATGTACGTTATTTAATCAGAATTTACAGAATAAAGTGTATGTTATGGTAATACTTTCTCATAGAAAACAGAAATTGCTCAGTAATGTAAAAATTTCAGTACTCCTGCAAAGTTAGGCCTCATTACAGCATTAAAGAATACTCCTCCTAATTGCAGTAGACAGTACTCTTCCAAAAACATACCATACATTACAAGGGCAACAAAGTCCGCTGCCGCAGTCTAATAACCGCAGCTAATACTGGCAGCATTCTCCTTTGTATAGCTACATTTCTATTGTTAAAGAATGAATTTAGTGTTTTAGCAGTAACGGAATAAGCAATTAAAATAAAAAGTTAAACCCAACAGCTGGGGCATTTGACATCTTTTACGAAGTCACTGGCATAATGCCAATGTTTGGCTATACCTCACCCTTGAAGAAAAGCGTAAGCCAGGAAACAGTATTAAGGCTTTATGATACTCCAGAGATTAATTATTCAGCTATGACAAACGACGTTCAGGAAGGCACTGCTCAACTCTTACTCTGACTTGTTATTCTTGTTTTATGACTGCCTCTTCAGCGTGAAGATTTTCTGTTGCTCCCAAGTCACCCAACCTAACTATGCCACTATTCACGTCTAATTTAAAAGACAAATACCAAAGACAATCTAATTTCTATTCTGGGTCAACAGCATGCTGACACAAAGCCAGGAACACACAGTAGCGCTGTGCTCTACTACTTATTTGCAGTCAGGAGGGTTCCATCAACTACGAGCTGGACTGACCTGAATAATGAAAGCTTACAGCATATGCATAGCCTTTGCTGGTTTGCAGTCACTAGCGCTATTATACCGTTCGGTTGTGATGCCTGCTTTATGGAAGACACATGGACGCTTTCTCATTCCTCAGCTGGCCAGTGTGTGCAAGCTGATGAAAAGCTATAAGGAGGGTTTGCCTCATACTGCATCACCCTGTTGAAAAGCAACGTGATGATTCCAAAGAAAAAAATAAAATAGTCTGGTGGATATATATAAATATTTATTATCAGTTTAACTTCATTTTACTAGAAGTCTTTAAACAGTTTTTCTTTTTTGCCAAAATGTTGCATCTCTTGACACAGCGTCATAGCTTCCCTGCACTGGGAATGCACAGCTTACACTTAGATTCCAAAACAATCTATTCAAGATGAAGAACCTTCAACTTTAGTGCACATGGAGCTATTTAAAGATTGGTAAAAAGACACCCCCCCCTTCCCCCTCCCAAATTAAGAGTCTGTTACAAAGACATTTCATTACCAAAAAGTGAATATACAAATGCTAAAAAAATGCTGGCTTGAAAAAGTGATTTCAGAATTTACTGTACACATTGTAACAATTTATTATATAAGCTGCTTCTACATGCAAGCAGATCTTACATTTGGTGTAAAACATTTATACACATTCTTTACAATTTGTACATATTTAAATGGCTGTATCAAACAACACTGCGCTATGGAATTTTGGAAGCGAACACCTAAGATTGGGAGGAGAAAAAGACAAGGTTTATAAAACGTGAACAAAACCCGTGACACTGAAAAGCATCTAGACTTAGGCTTAGTCTTGTTTGGTTTGGTTTCAGGTTATTCAGGCAGACCCAGATTTTCCTTCTAGCACACAAAAGTAACACCAATGCAAAACAGAGTAAGGCAACTATTCAACCAGCAGGCTGTACCCGTCACTTAGAATGGCTTATTGGTAAAATGCCTTTTTAAAAATTTTTATTTTTTGCCAAAATGTGTATTTTCTAGGCACATTTTAGCAAAAACTGCATTTTGGCTTTTCTGCTTGCTTATGGCATGAAATGAATTACTGTAGTTGGTGCCCATTGTGAACAGGGTGGTGGCTTTTTTGTTTTGAAAAGCCCAGGCCTCAAATGATATTTCAGTAGTATGAAAGAGGACACCGGGCCACGTGATAAGAGATGATGATCAAAGCACAGAGTTTGTGTGATAACTAATGATGTTATATTCAGTACTTTTGTCACCTTTTAGTTTGCATTAGAAGGTAACAAAAAGTAAACCCAAGCCAATAGGATACCATACTACTACATGAAGACCTGAGCTTAGCTGGAATTTGGGGACTTCTACTAGTTTGGGTTAGATGTGGCGGTGTCCCCTCTGCTGAAACACTTCAAACTCTCAGAGGGGTAAAAGGGGAGCTGGCCCTGTACAGCACTGAGGAACACCAGTGCCTTATGGCATAACGTCGGGCAGGCATCAAAGTGCTGGTACGGAAAACTGTTTTTCACACCTTCCTGAATGGCTCTTTCCTTGTTTGTCTTTTTATACAGTGCATAGCGAGAAAGAGAGCCTGACATAAGCTCTGAGGTGTTGTGCCACAAGTACGAGATTTAGTTAGAAGATAAAAAAGAATGAATGATATTTACCAGAAGTCATAATGGGAGCGGTATGCCATGGCTGCGTATGGGAAGCAAAACTTAGAACAACGTGTTCATTCAGGAGACTATCACGAACATGTACCAGAAACATATACGAATATAATTCCTCCTGGCTACTGAATCTCTAGAGAGCTGAATTGAATATAATGAGTATTAAAGTCATCTTCTCAAGCTTGTCTGCTTTCCCTCTTTAAAAAAAGATATAAATTTGTAACTCTGATGTTGATTAAGAGTTTTTGGAAGAACATCTAATAGACGCAAGTCTGCATGAAGTCCACGGCAACGTATCGGTTTGATAATTTAGATCCCTAAACTGACAGCATTATGTAGCTGTTTTTATTTAAATAATGTTACAAATGGGAGAGCATTCAAAGTAAGAGAACCCTAATCTTATGATTTAGGCCGATGAAGTAAAATTTTAAATAATTCTTTTTTTTTTTTCCTACAACTGATTTTTGCTGTTGTTGGGGGTTTTTTTGGTGGGTTTTTTGGCTGGCAAAGGCTAACAAGTTTTTATTGGCATTGCCCCGAAATCAGAAAAGCACTTCAGAGTTGTTCTTTATTGTTGACTACTCCTTATTCTCTACATCACAGGAAAGCGGCTGAGTGCCTGCCTCAGCTTCTGTGCAATCTGAAACAAAGAAACAGAACATATTTAATATGTAGTCACTTTATACTATGCAGAAATAAGATTGCAGGCTAAGAAATTAAACAAGTTGTTCCCTCATTTTCTGAAAAACTGCAGTTTTCACTGCAGATTTTGTATATGGAGGAGTCTCAAAGCATTCCATTATAAAGACTTTTCTTCTCGTATATACACTTTTCTGCCTTGCTCATTTTGTGCTTTCACCGCTCAGGCTGTGTTGGAGAAAGTATTGTAGGCAGGGCTGTCATCCTGCCTATTAGGTAATCAAGCACTGCACTATGCAGGAGGGCTACAGGAACAAAGTCAGACTTTTCATGAAATCCATTTCTCCACTGAAACAAGGCCACACATCAGAACAGAGCTCCTGGGCTCGCCCCACACCTCTCATGGTAGCCAGCACCCTACGTGTGAACATGGATCTGGTCCCTGTAGCGGGGCAGAAAGGATTGGTACAAGGAGACTGGTAAGGCTGCAACCAGAAGAATTGGGATAGAGTGGACAAGAGACTGAAAGAAGGTAAGGAGAAACCTATGCCTAACCCCATCAGATGTGTCAGAGAAACTGAGCAAGGTGACCTGATGGGGGACCTGAAGTTCTCATCCACTGAAGATACCTCTGAAGCCCCACTGGCACCTTTTACTGCCGTGAAGGGTAACCAGTTGCTTACATTACTCCTTTAAGTGACAGAAGTCAGCTTCCAGCACAAACTCACAGGTTTTACCAGCATATCACATTAGAAAATTTGTTCTCAGGTTTCATTTAAAAAAAACCGTAAGGAATACATGCGTAAGAACAATTTTAAATGAGAACTAAGGTTGTAGGTCAAGTGCTCAGAGTTAATAAGTCACCTAAACCACTCCAGTCCCCCCTGCTCCACACTTGTATACATCAGGCTTTAAGTCACAGAAGCTTCCCTTCGTCCTCCCATCCTATGGGAGGGAAGTTTCATTCAAACGGTTTATTGTTGTATTCAGTGCAGCAGGTCTGTCTTACTGCATATCACAGAACTAAAATTCTTTGTAACCTTAGTGCTGGCATTGGGGGGGGAAAAAATCAAGCTGTCAACAATAACGTTTCCAACACTGGTTTTTAGGTCTAATATGACATAGTCATGTATGTAGGAATAGTATCTATAGGAAAATATTTTAACTCATTCTTTGTCCTTTCATTTTTTATATGTACAATTCTTCAAATATCTGCTCTCTGGGAGAGGCTCATACAAAAAGATGATTAAATACTGTCAGTATTTCTTATAAAAAGTAGCAGCACAGTATGTGCCAGGAAAATGGCACTGAAATACTACATCTTACCGTTTCATAAAACTGTGCCTGCTGCTCCAGATACAGACGAATGACACTGTTGTAGTCATAAATCCGGTTACTGTGGAAGTGATTCATCTCAGCTGCAATTAGACCCAGGAGGCAAATTATTTAAGAGAAGCATTCGTAATTAGGAACAGTTTCACTCAGTTCAGATTAGTTACTGTGCAACAAGCTCAGTGTCCAGCCCTACCAACATAGTTACTGTTCTCATGCTTCCACAACCTGTTTTGCCTGCAGCACTCAAGTTATGATGGAACTGTTTGTAAAACTGGTAGGGTGTCAATTACTCACTGCTAAAATACGGACAATTCCTGGATAAAGCCAGGTTCTTGTTACAATACTCAGGTGTACAAAGATTTGATAAAGAAAACAAGCAGGATTTTCTTCTGCTGAGGTAACTGCTCTTTCCTGAAGTGTTTCCAACAGAATTTGGCTAGGACATTCAGATTTCCAAGAGTATAGATATCAAGTTGTAAGCCACAGCTGCAAATATTTAGCTCAAAAAAAGATACAGCCAGTAGTGTTTGACTCATTCTTGACTGAGGCCATTTCAGTAGAAACCTGAGAAACAGCATTATTGAATCCATGACACCTTTCACCACTTTCTGCATCTCTTGCCAGATCACAGCTTATGGCTGAAATAAAAAGTTAAATATATTTTGAGATACCAATAGAAGGAGAAGAAATATTCTAGATTGTAAAAGTCATCCTAGAGGTCTATTCCATGATGACCACTTATACAGCACAGACCTCTTGCATCACTGTGACCAGGAAGGAGGGGGTGGGGAGTTTTCTTTTTTGATTTTAAAATCATTTTTGTGTGCTGCTCTGACTTTGTCCTGTAAAATACTGAGTACTCTTGGCTTTAAGTCAGCTAAAGAAGATGCAACTCCCTCAGCAATGAGTAGTCCCACTGAAGTCAGTAACAGGATGCACTTAAGGGCTCGATATCCTGCAGGACTGAGCCCTGACTCCTCACTTCCCCAGTTTTTCAAGTGCAGTGGGCTACGTCTCATATTTATAACATCTCTAACCTAAAGAGGAAAAGGTTCATTCAAAGAACATCCAGGAAATAAAATCTTATGCACAAGAACATGAATCTCAACTGGATCATGTCTGACTAAACCATGAGTCAGCACGTGATGAACTGCTTCCTGCACCAGGGCCCATGTTTTTTCTTTGAACCATTATCACTTCAAAATGAAAGAATCGGGCTGGGGTGGTTGGTTGTTGGGGTTTTTTTGTGGTTTTTTTTTCCTTTAATTGCATTTCCAAAACATGTATCTTTTGCAATAGCAATATGAGATTTGAAAGAAAACAATAGCAAAATAACTGCAATTTTAGGAAAATCTAAGCAGGTCACAGAGGAGGAAAAAAAAAAACCCAAACCAAAACATAACCATGCCTAGCTCTTATTATTACTCCTGGTAGAACAAAGATTCTGTTTCAAAGTCTGTTACTTAAGAGATGTCCTTCAGTGGTCTACAGCATTGCCATTTAGCCCCAAATTTGGTTTACCTTGTAGTGCATAAGCCATGGTGCTCACACGTTTCACCATGTTCTGTTTGTCTTGTGGCGTTATTTTACTGGTTGCAACTAATTTATCACTTTCCTTCACTTTTTCTATTGCTCCCTGTAGAAACCAAATGCAAAAAGATTAAGAGTGTAGTCAACTTAAAGGTCTTTATAGTCATCTGAAATGCCACTGGCCACATTTTGAGCTTGCACGCTATACACATACATATACATACACATGCACAATGACCAATTCTGCCTTCCCACATTTTCACCCGAAGTTTGTTATTTCTCTCTATTGCTTTCAAGAGCCCTGACGGCTTGCAAAAAGTGACTTCAAACACAGGCATGAACACAGTCCCTAGCAAATTGAGTTTGGTAAAGGCAGTAATACACAAGGATATATACAGAAAGGACAAAAGGACCAAGTTTCAAATACAGCTGACCAACACAACAGACATCCAAAAGCCTCAAACTATCAAATGCCTGTAGAACCTTATTTGCACATTATACAAGATGAGACAACAGAAATTGTTTTCCAGGAGACTACAACTCATTGCAATTTATAACTTTCGATTCAGGAAAATCCTTGCGTCACATCAACAACAAGCATAAAAAGAAATGCCTCCCCCATCACAATGGATTTGTGCCAAACAACATTGAAGAGAATCTATTGACACGTCTCTTGGCAGTAGGCTTATGTTTCAAGTTTTAAAAACATTTCTTCTCCTGTTATGGTATTTATCCCCAAGGATTCTGTGGGATGAGGGACCATAAGTGTCCTGAAGAAAGAACACACAAATCTGATACGCTTTTATCTTTGTTGCTCTTGGAAGTATATTCTTGTTTTATACATTTAACACTTCAAGTGGTAAAAAAAAAAAACAAAAAACAACCAAAAACCCCACCCAAAAAACTTGTGTACTTGTTTAATACTTCAAAATTTTTAGTTTCCTGAAATATGTTACAACAGGTACATGAACATAAGGAAAACTCTAGGACCAAAAAAAAAAAAAAAGGCAGAATATCCAAAACTACACACAATGCTAAATTTATTACTTTATTATTTGATGGCTTTCACGTTACAGAGAACAAAGTGGTTGTTTTTTGTTGCTGGTGGTCGTCCCGTGTCATTGTGTCCGTCCCCCCCAAGTTAGCTCTATTCTCTATTTTTTAATATTAAAGAAACTTCTAGCCAGTGCATGATTATTTATCACATATCAGGAAGCTAGCCATGTAAGTGTACACAATTTTTCCTACAATATTGGTATGGTTTAGTATCAGCTACCACGTAAGACTCAAATACTACAGATTTACACTACTGCTATTCACCACGTTGGGACATGAAGTTAACCTGAAGAAAATCATGAAGCTTCTAGTGCTCTACTATAGCAGAAAGTCATGACATTCATGATATTCTCAAATCTCGAGACAAGTTCTGGCTTCCCTCCTCTCTAAGTACTTTTTATTTTAAAAATCAACATGCCAATTTCACAGAAACTTTCAGTGTTTCTGGAAGCAGGGGCCAGGCTGCTGCACAAATGCAGTGTACCATACCACCGCTTTTGTTGCTGTAGATCTTCCTACTGCCCAACCCTCAAAAGGAAAGGCCCCTCACATACCTTATGAGCTGCTATGATGTCAGGGAAGCAACCAAGAAATCCCTTATATTCATGATTTGTTTCCATCAAAAAGTGAAGATCTTTCTTCGGCTAATAAACAAAGTGTAAGCATTAGTAAAAGTATCTGTGGCATATTAACATCACAGAAAAGAAACTATGATGCCAAAAGAGGGTGAAGGGAAAAAAGGGAAGGAAAGAATAGAAAAAATCCAAACCAAAATCTTAATTGTTTGTTGCAAGTTTTTCATATTTAAAAAGGTCCTTATTAAAATATAAGCTCTTTGGAGTAAGGTACTGAGCACTAGTGTGAGCAGATGCCTCTGTTTTGTTTTACTCAACACTAGCTTATGAAGTGAGGGGTTTTGCCTCAAATTTTCACTGAAGAGGAGTTACCGGTCCTAGTAATAGCACTATCAAGCAACAATCTCATTACATATACAGATATGTAGATGCACAGGTGCATCTCCTTAGTCGCTGACTTGGAAAGCTGTTCTAAGAACTTCCAGACACAACCTTGAGATCAAGAGGATCTGCGTTTTGGAGACTTTAAGCTTAATACACTAAACATCAATTTATGACTTGAATGCTGACACCAGTCAGGATTTATTTAAGCTAGATTTTTACTGAAGCAGGCAATTGCATGTCAAGACAATGAAACGCAGCAAGATCTGGATCCTGTAGACATTTGGGGAATGCAGGGGGAAGGTAGAAACCCTATCCTTGATTAAATCTCATTCTTTTGTATCAGTAACGAAGACAGCTCACTGACATCAGAAGACAAACACATTTAAAGAGGAAGTAATCATTTTAGTATTTTAGAAACCAGAACGCGATCTTTCTGATCCAAGAGAAATGCCCTCCCATCACATCCCCCTTAAGTTGACACATAGTAGAAAAGAAGATGAAAGTGCATTTAAAAGTATTAGTAGCAATTTCATTGGCAATGCAAATGCATTCATAATACTCCTACCTGATCTGCTACAAGACTGGCGATTTCTTCATAGGTTTTTCCTGCTTCTGTTATTGCTCCATTGAGATCAGATTCTCCTAAAAGTAAACAGCGTTCAAATTACAGTAAGTCAATTGCAGTAAGAAACTTGCCTTGATTCAAGGCAAATATCTAAAATAGCTTATTTTACAATAATAAATGCCTAGTCATCATTTTATAACCAGCAGTAATAAAGAAGTTAGAAAAATAATAGTAGTTTTTATACCATTAAAGAACAAAAACTCTGAAGATCTTGTAGAAAATGAAAGCTAAAGCGACCACATAAACACTGTTCTACTATAGTACTACATTATTCACTTCTGCATTTCATAATTATATGTAGTTTAAATACACAGGTATTCCCCCACACGGAGCAACAGGAAGCCTACCAGAATGGGGGGGAAGGGAGAATGAGGAAGGTGACACTAGAAGATAGACTAACAAAGCTGAAGAGACACCTGCTGTTCTGATTTTTAGTAAATTATTTTCATACCTGATAAGCAGTAAATTCTCCACAATGCCCTATGGAGCAGTGATGCTAGCCCTAAGCTCTCCAACAGTCCTGGACCGTAACTGTTAGAAGGTCAGAGAAGCAGAAGGAGGGCCAACTAACTTTTTTCCTTGCCAACAAGATTTCTGACCCTTTAGGGAACTCTTGGATAATATTTTCAAGCTCTGTAAGAACTGCTGCTTTTGAGAGAGAGTTTCTAACTTTCATCATCATATGAAATAGACCAAAGGGCCCCACAAATTACACTTAAAAATACAGACATCACCACAAATCCTAAGCTAGACAACACCACAAGCGCTCATAACACTATTACTAGCAGGACATGGCTATGTGGGACAAAGATGGAAACAAGCCTTACATTCTTGTTTTTTTCAGGCCACTTCACCTTCCCAAAACACCACAGGTTTTTTCCATCCTTGTTAGCTTCTCCAAAGCATGTAGTCAACAGTACGAAAAGCAAATTGAGGCAGAGAAAGGGGAAGGTATAATTTGCAGATATTGGGTATCAGTTTAAGAAAAAATGATTTTTCTCATCCTTTCAGACATGTCTTGATATTAGGCAGCAGTTAGTCTTTTACAAGCATTTTGATTTATTCCATAGACATTAATCAGTGACTTAATTGAAAATTACCAAACACTGATTTCATTAAATGATTCATTTGAACATTAAAGTACCTTCTTTTACTACAACATATGGACTAATCTATGTTAGAGATTTATTAGATAGGATTCCTTCATTTTAGCATGTCCTAAAGGAAACAAGGTAATGACTGAATGTTGCTTCAGTTCTATCAATCAATTCTTACTTTCCATTAGACTGGTTTCATAAAGCCAAAAGCTTTGAGGGAAAGCTACTGATCCTAAGAACTAGTAAGTCCAGCAACACAAACACTGCTAAAGAAATACATTATTTTTCTCCTATTTGAGCCTGTCTGGATAAAATAAAAATAAAAACAACATGAAATCCCATTGTGAGATTTAAGAGGTACATAATTCAGAAGATGTCTTCACATTGTTGTAAAACAAAAACATTTCAGGGAGATCAATTTCATTATTTCAGGTAGACTGAAATAATGAAACTATTTCAGAATCCCCCATGTCTGCTCAGAAGTAACCTTGAAGCAACTGCTGCTTAGGCAACTGACTCCTAGATTTTGGGACAAAACATGGTGTGGCTTTAATTAGAGTCAGAAGCCAGGTTGGTCTAGATGTTGCTGTTCATTTCATAATGCCATAAAAGACGATGACTCTTCCTATCTGAGCAAAAATAAAGAGGAAGAGTATGTATATTTGAGTAGAAAGAGAAAATCCTCCCCTTTTGTGCAGAACTCACTCAAAGGACCTTCATAGATTGGGGTTCCTAAGAACCTAGACAAACCCTCCCAACACCTATCCTCTTCCATTTGGGGGCAGCAGGGCACAAAGCCAGCTTGTAGAAGGCACAGGGTGCATTAAGAGTTTCTACTACTAGCAGAGGCATTCACACTCTTCCAAAAGTAGGGCTAAGGGATAGTATATTTAAAAGTTGTTCCAGACAGTGGATCCCGACAACAGGCAGGCACACAAGTGGTAGAAGAATATCTGCAGCTCCTCACACTGCATCCTTTTCTTCTACAATCTCTTTTTCAGGTAGCGCCAGGGCAGCCTTCAAGAGTCAGATTTCATCTCTCACCTGCCACACCCTCCAAATTCTAATACACATTACCAGCAGTGTCATGCCATGCTCACTCCCTACACCAGGCCACCTTGTCAGAGATACGGCATGCACCCCACATGCTCACCCGTCAGAGTAACTTGAATTCCAGCAGCAGATTGCTCCCAATCGCTGTTGGCAGCATGGGTTTTGGTCAGAGTTTTGTTACTTGGACAAGACCAAGTTTCTAGCATTCTCAGCTTCTGAACCGATGTGAAGCTGGGAATGGGCTTCTTAACGCAAGCAGTGAAAGCTGAGCTGGGTCCCAGTGCAAGGATATACCAGGATGTCAGGGGTTCTTTAATCAATGGAAAAGCAGAAAGCCCCACATGCTGCTGACATTTACAACAAAATTAGGGCAGGGTACATTACATATATCCCCACGAGAAACAGAGAGGGCTTAAAAGCATTGACTAAAGATAGTTGTAAAAAGACCAGTTAAAATGGCCAGTAATATTCTACAGATATTTTAACCTAACGACGAGGAGAGACTGATATTTTCATTGATTTACAGGCCTGCATGCTATCATAGGGAGATGAAGGAAGATGTAAAACTACGAGGAGTCTTTTGGAGATGTTCAGCAGAGCATCTCTTAGCAGTTCAACTGCTTGGTAAATGCCAGTGATTATCACCTCTGAGGGAATATACCAGGCATATTGATGGAACTAATATTCTGTAAGGCTTGATTAGGGCAGCAGATTTTTTTTTGTCAAGAAGTGTTTTTGTTTTCTTTTCTTTTCTTTCAAAGCATGTTTTAACAGAATCCAGGAATAGGAAAAAGATCAAGTTTGATGTATTAGGGAACTACTGTGGCAAGATTTTTCTTGACAAATACACCTCAGACTGAACCTTCAGCACGCAAGCAGCTTGGAAGACAAGATGTGCCTGTTGCTAGCTGGCAGGATAGTGAAACTTGCATGTAAGTGCCTAACAAAATTCCTGAGGGGTGATGTAGGATTAGATCTTACTATGGTTGAATGGCATACCACCACCATTCACATTCTCTTAATATAGGAGAAAGACTCACCCAGATTTGGTGCCGCAAAAGAGAAGCCATGCTATTTAAGGCTGCGTTAATCTATGAGCATCATATGATGCAATAGGATAGGCAACATAGTGTCAGGCTGCAAGCCACTTCCAGGCATATTCTGGAACTGTCCAATATGCATTTTTGGACCATAGAATCATAGAATCATTTAGGTTGGAAAAGACCCTTAAGATCATCGAGTCCAACTGTTCATAGTATTAACTGACAGAGGAAAGATCTAGATCTGGTAGTACACACTAGCTGACCAAACCATTAAAAAAATTCCAATTTTTCAGGAACAGATTAATTCAACAAATTTTATTTCACACATTGTGGATGTAAATATTAGATGACAGGCATCTGATTGTTCATGCCTTCTGAGAGTTGATATTGTCAGCATTATTTCTTATGCTTTTGAAATTCAAGAAGTTTCAGGGAAAGGTGCCAGCTTCAATGCTATCAGTAGAACTCTGCACAACTGATTTCATACTTTGTGAATCTCATCTAATTTTTCCTTTAGTTCACTTCTGTTTGTGGTTTTACAGCAGGATCATACTTTCAAAGCACATGTTCTTAAAATTGATCAGTACATAGGCCCATGGCCAAGTTAAATGAGAACCTCTCAATATGTCCTTAATAATTTTAAAGGTACCCTTGCCTCTGCAAATACTGGGGACAGATTCCTAATATGCACTGTGGCTGGCAACTAATTGATAAGGCTCATTTGGCAGCATAAGAAAATGAGCTTGAGTGAGTCAGATTAACAAGTGCATCTTGCCCAGTGCAATCTTAAACATTTTAGACTGGAAATCAGAAAAGAAGGCAGTAGACAGTCACCACACATAATAAGGCTTTGCAGAGCAAGCAGGCAGCACTGACAAAAGAGGTAAGGACAGTAGATACATCCCATCCTAACTGCAAATGAACCAACTAACAGTGTATTCAGTATGTCAGAAGTCAGCTACTAGGAGCTAGAAATGTTCGTGTCATCAAATCAGTCATTGCAATCTTCAGCGGCCTATATGCTTAAACTTCCAGAACTCAAGTATTAAAACAAAAAACAAAAACAAACAAAAAAAAGGATGAAGAGATTCAGCTCCCAACAGAAACTGAACTGAGTGCCTTTAAGTATGGCTGAAGGAGCCATTCCTCTTTACCGATGGTCCAGAAAAATCATACCCCATACTCAGCCTAGCTAGTACTTCATTTAAGGAACAGGTCCAGTGCCTTCTTTTAAATACTGAGATCAGGAAAGCTGCATCCTATCAGTTTAAATCCAGGTCCTTATGTCTCTTGCATAGAGTCTGCTTAATCCACAGACCTGTACCTCAGGCAAACCATCAAATGAAATGGTATACCAACAGCAGGCAGGACAGAGTGAGGGCAGCAGCGATGAAGACGTTTAAAGCAACAAGTGCACTGCACTTATTCTCTCTTCCTGGGAACTCAAAATTAAAAACCAAAGAATCCCATATATTATTAATTCTGAAAAAAATACACTGGTGTACCAGTTATTAAAAAGAACAAAATATATGGAATCAGGACAAAGGCATCAGCGGGAAGGGCATTTTCCTCAGCAAGATACTAGGGTGCAACCAGGTACAACTGGGCAAACAGCAAAGAGAAACACCCTTGCCTTGTTCCCAAGCATCATGGGATCTCTTTTTTCACACCATTTGAAGATACTGGAAATCAAATTGAAGCTTTCCTTCGTAAGGTTGAGCTGCAATTTTGCATTTTAGCTTTAAGCCATATTGTTTTCCCTTTACCCTGGCAAAAGAACGTGTGTTATAGTTCAAGCAATTTTCAGTCCTTTCAAGAATTCTTGCTACAGATTGTATCTGGCTAGGATTTACAGTTTTCTAACCCATGCTAAGAGTACATAACTATGCAAATCCCCTACTTGGTTCTCACATCCAAAAGTAACATTTTAGGCAACATGCTATGCTCCAATTCTAACTAAGCAGTCATCCTGTTGAAGTACAGGACAAAGATGAGAACAAACTACAGGGACTATGCCTATTTCCAGTGTTACCAGCAGCAGAGAACCTGAGTTTCAAAAGTGGTTGCATTTTAATACATGGTTTATGGGGCAAAAAGCTTTAAGAGTACAAAGCAAGGGATAGATGAGTAGTCAGAGTAAGTACTGGTCAACTATAAGTTCTACGATGGAAAGATTTCAGGAAGCCTCTATGCTATAACATTTAAGGTTTTAGAACAGAGCATTAGAACAGAGCAATTTTGCTATTAAGTCTAGGGGGAAAAAAAAAAAAAAAAAAAAAAAAAAAAAAAAAAAAAAAAAAAAAAAAAAAAAAAAAAAAAAAAAAAAAAAAAGAAAACACACATTTGACAAGAGAATCCCCGAGAAAATGGACTCAATTAGCTCCCTCTGGGATATGAGGAAATATTTTCCAGTTATCTGGAAAACATCAGCAGAACTTAACATATCAAAACAGGATTTTATGTTTGGCCTAAAGACTACATTTTAGGAGAACTTTGAGCAATTGATGCCTTCCTTTTCCCTCCCACAACTTTCACACCTAACATGACAGGCTCTATTCTGGGGCTCATGAAGGAGAAGGAAAGGTGAAATAGCCAAGTAAGAAAAGGCTACAGTAGCCAACCCTCCAGCCCACATAATGGTATACAAAAGTCTTGTAATAAGTTTTCCATCCCCATGTGGGGTTGTTGTTTCATGAAGTAAGTCACACAATAGTTCTGTGACAGATATTTTCAAGGCCACATTTTCTCCCCTTTCCTTTGATATCACAAGAAATGCTACAGCATGTTTTGTCAGTCAGGTCAGTGACCAGGTTATTAAAATAAAAAAAAAAAAAAAATCCCCCCCCCCGCCATCATTAACCCACCACATGATTATACAGCGAGAGAAAACAAAATTGCAGACTAGAATATAAAAACCTCATAATACACACAGGGAAACAAGTTTTTAGTATTTTTTCCAGAATCATGTTTGACATCTAAAGTTCAAAGAGTAAAGCATTAAGATCTTTGGCAAAAAAATGTAGCATGATGTAATTAAAATATCTTTTGTTAAATAAAGTACAAATGAAGCTATAGAAGTACCTTGGTATCCACTGGTGCTGAAGACCAGTGCCAGGCTCTGCAATGCTTTTCCTATCTTCTGGTATTCCTTGGGTAGTGCTGAAAGGGGGAAAAGGATAGGGAAAAGGAGGGAAACAGAAGCAAAAACCCACAAGGGTAAGTGAGACTAAATCTGCAGCATATCCAAAACTTGATAGAAGCAGATGTCAAAAACAACTAGCATTTACAATCACATTCTTACCCCCTCCCCTGCTACAGACGTTCCAAAACTGGATAAAGCAATTGCAATCTGGATTCTTGAAAGCCACAAACAGTTGGGGGGGAGGGGAAGTGCTGCAGTGATATGGAGAATAGATCTCATTAATATTTTGAGAGGGGATTATTATACAGACCTATAATACCTAAACTCTCCTCAAATCATGGATTTTATATTTAAAGGCACCAGAAACCAAGATTATTCTAGGGATAAAAATTGATGCAAGTATCTGAAAAATAAAATTGTTTTTTATAATCTATTTACTGAAAACGTATGCATAAATTGCTTCATCACAATGAAGTCAATAAGCTGTGATTTATGAGTGCATTCATTATTAACACTTTGAATACCATCACCCCAGAGGCCTAAAAAGCAATCTGAAAAGTGAAAGCAATTTTTTTATAAGCTATCTATGGAAGCAGAAAAAACCCAAGTAGGTACGCTTTTTGTTATCAAACATTATTATTCAGAGGGTACATAGTCCAGGTAAATAGTTTTTTCAGTTGCTCTAGCATCCCACACAATCTGATTTTCACAAAGGAACAGCTTTGTGTGGTAAAAAACAACACAAAAAACAAAACTCAAAAACCAACCCTCCAAACCGCATAATTTTATTGATTATCTTTGATCAAGTTCTTGCCCAGAAGTTAGATTATTTATGACAACTGGTATTTCTTATACAACAGGTACCATTCAGAGTACTGGAGTTCTGTTACCAGCCATTAACTTGTTACTGAATTCCCAGTGGAAACTTCAGTGAAGAATGTTTGGTTTCTTTTCACTTGCATTTAAGAAGTTTCCACTGTCGGTCATTTTAAATATCATAGAATGGAATGCATGTAACTATTGCTCAGGAAGTGCCAAAAATATTTCTGACTAGCAGTTGGGACTAGAGCTGACAGAGAACTTAAAACCTAAGAGACTACTGAAATTCTTCAGTTTTGCACGTCCTGATTTACCAGTCTCCTTTTTCTATTCAGTATGAATGTCTGGAAAGTTAAAAGTTAAAATTTTCAACACAATCACATATGACTTACTGCATTTATGCTAACTCATTAATAGCTCTAAGTATTAGAAGAGTCATTCCATACCTAAAGCACTAGTATCATAAGTTTGGGGAGATTTTAGCAGTGAAGAAAATACTGAATTTCTACTGTAAGCACAAGTCACAGCCAGCCCTTAACTATGGTGAATTTGATCACTGCTTCTGTAACTGCAAAGCAACACTATTCTCCTAGTCTCATCTGAGGGACCTTATTCCTTCCCCTGCCCTCCGTTTCCCCCTCGGTATCATTTCCTGGTGAAGTGAGACCTGTACGCTGTTAGAGCTGTGTCCTGTGTTAGACTAGGGTCAGTGATGTGTAGAAGGAAACCCTCTTATTCAAAGTGGAGAAATGTAAATCATTTAAGGTTCACACCCTACAGATACTAAGGTCTAATGCAATCACTACCGGGAGAAACTGGGCTTCTATACTTCCCATTCCCTCCGGTCAGCCCCAAGATATTCAACTGCAGTGTTAGATTAGAAAGCAGCAAAGAGAACTCAGGAGATGTACTTACTCCCGAGTCTGGGAACAATGGTTTTTTGCTGGAGTTAAAAAGAAGGGGGGGGGGGGGGGGAAGGAAAGAAAAAAATGGAGGAGATTTGAGGAGATTTATGTGATAGGTCTTTTGTCACCAGACACTACAGCCTGCCCTGAAGTGTTTCTTATTATGATCCTCAGCTGTAGTACCTGCTTCCTTTCAATAGCTGCCTTGTGGTGGCCACAAACACTGAACACTGCTGTGGACTAGGAAATTAGAGCCCAGGCAGAGTCATAGGGACTTGGTGTGAAGTTCTGCAACCCTAAATATCTGTGGGAAGGAAGAGACAAGATAGGAGAAAAAGAATTGGGCTAAAGATTAAGTTAGAATCAAGTTGTTTTTTCTTTTCTTTTTTTAAACTCATTTCATCTTTAAATCACTCCTCCTGGCATGCAAGAATCCTAAGTAAGGGGCTAATAAAATGCAATCACTTATGATTTCATCAAATAGACCAGTCGACTTTGCCCATGACACTAAAATGTAGATAAATGACAAATATGAGAACCGGTCCAACAAGGGCTTTAGCTGGATTACTAGAATTATTTAACTTTTAATATTTTTAAACCTATGGGCAGGGACCAGATATTTCTGTTATGAGAGAAAGAAAAAAAAACCCAAAAGAGAGAAACAAAAAAAACTTGCACAATTCATACTCTCAGACACTGAAAGCAGCCAGCATGCCATACAATCCTCATGATAATTTAGGATTTTTCCTTTAGTTTTAAGATGTGCCTTGAATTATAAACAACAAAAACGACAAAAAACCAAAACAAAACAGAGAAAAGCAACACAGAAATGACTGCTGAGTTCAGAAGGGACACTTACGCCCTGTACACCTCTTCCAGTGCTCTTGTCCCACTGTCAGCAGCTCTTTAACTCCATCATCCATTGCTTTGGTGAACCTACCCACTGCATCACACTTCTGTTCTCTGTGGCATTTGGAAAAAGCAAAAACAAAAAGCATTTTGACAGATGCATTATGCTAACTTTCAATGCAATACTGAAATGTTTAGTAGTGTCAACTAGGTCTTAAAAAAAATAAAAATCAGAGAAATAAGTGAACTCCTTGAAATCTCTGCCATTTCACTGAGGTCAGAATTTTCCTCTTCAGGTACAGGCATTTTTTATTCTATTTTTCCCCTTCTGTTAAACATGTGGTACTGGACTATCATTCTTACTATATAGTTACCTTAAAAAAAAAAAAAAAAAAAGGCTACTAGCTAAATATCCTCCCCAGCGAGATCAGATAATAACAGAACAGCAAATTCTGATGTGAGGAAAATGCATCCCTAGAGCACTTAACACAAATAGAAGGACCCCCACATTGATAGGAAAGTAGATGTTAGAGTAACAGAAGTAGCAAAATTCATACAACAATGAACAAATATAAAGAAAATAATTGTTCCAGATATTTTATTAAAAGTCTAAAATAGGTGAATAAAAATCAATATAGCAATTCTTCTAGGGAAATATATATGCATAACTTTATATTATGTTGACAATACCATTATGTTCAGTTGTGTTAGAGAGGAAAAAAAAGTCAGTGATGCTCAAAAGAGAATTATGAATTAGTATGTGCCTTTTTACCCTTCTTTAAGCATGTTTTCATGCAGCTATCAAAGCTTTCCATTAACACAGCACTGCATACACAGCACTGCTCTGTGAACTCTACAAAAGAAAATTAGACATATATTTTCTAATTTTCAATGACCATTATTCAAACTGCATCAGATCTTACAGCCAAAGCCTGTATGAGACAGCTCTCACAGCAAGGCAACCCTAAGTGACTCCCCAGAGCCAGGGCAGCAGCTCCAGCTGTGGCCCAACCACCTAGAGGCTCCCACTCCCCCACTGGCACCTCCTTCCTCAGCTGGAAACCCTACCCAAAGAGTTACTTGCACAGAAACAGAACCTGGGCTTTCCAAGAGGCCCTTGTTTTACTCCAATTTTCCCAGTAGCAAACCATCCTTTTTAATTTTCTGTACTTCATACTTTACGGTATCATGATCACAGAAAAAGTTTATGAACCACCACAGGGTTACCATCCTTTGATCAAAACCAGGATGACACAGGACTGCCAGAGTACTAGCAAAATTGTTTCAGTAAAGAGCATCTTTTCATTGAAGAACCTAAGAACTATTAAACAAGCTGGTTTGTCCACTTACAGGAGTAATGGCTTTCAAGACTATGTTCATACACACTTTTTTAACAGCACCCTGAGACGTTCCCAGGCACTGGAACACGGCGTGGATGTCTGAGGTGTTACAGCCACCCCTGCAATGCTTGGAGATAGGCCCCCAGAACCACCCCAGGCTGCCAGCCTCAGCCCAGGAGCCAATACCCTCTGGGGAGTGTTCCCCACAGACTGCTTGCCTGCCTTCACCCTGTTTGAGGACAAACCATTAAGCAGAACACATGCTGGTTGTTTCCTGCCAGGGTTCTGTATATAGTACAGACTCACTCTCTCCTGCACCCTACATACAAAATCGTCCCTCTGGTTCACCCGTTCGGCTTTTATACCACTGGAATATATAAAACATCACTTAAGAAAAGTAGACAACTTTGAGATCCTCATGTTTGAAGTGGAAGTGACCTAAAAATGTCCATCTTTTTTACTAGTACAGAACTGCTACCACACAGCTATTATATGCACCTTAATATGCACTGCATCACTTGGATAAAGCCTATGCTGGGCTATTTCCAGGTGTAGGTACACTACTGCTCTGCCACTATAAACACTGCTATCTAGTTTATCCAGTTTCAGACACAATACATTATCCGAGTTTCTACGTTCTACAACAGCAAGCAAAGCATGTCATGCATACTACATATCTTCTAAGAAAAATGATTAAGCCTAAAGGAGTGAAAAAAAGGCTGCAGAGTAAATCCAGTCTTTAACTCTATGAAACCCAAAGGTCTACCACCAAGAGAACTATACATAAGAGTGTATGTATATATAACATATAAACATATCCATTTGCACTTCCAGAAGGATACCCCAAAAATGTAGTAACCCATTTAAAAATATAAAACATATATATAACATATATATAAAACATAACTCCATAGGATCTGCCAGTACTCTACCTCATCAACCAGTTTTGCATAAATCTTTTTAGCATCAGTATTCAGCCACTGAAGTCAAAGAGACATCACATGGAGTTCCACCAAGTTTTGGAGGGGTCGATATAAAAATCTCATATTCAAACAATTTTTCAGCTCTGCCTTGATAAGTACCTCTTCAAATCCATGAATATATGTGCACGCTTACTATTCTAGTTTCATATTAGCTCAGTATCTGTTGTATATCCAGACGCATAATGTCCACGCAAAAAGAAACCACCTTACATTTCTACCATGTCCAAGTCAGGAGCTTCTGGTTCCATTGTAGAAAAGATCAGGACTCCTACAGTTTCATCTTTTTCTGCCTTCCGCTTTCCAGTTTTCCACTCCTTGAGGAAAGAGGGGGGGGGGGGGAGGAAGACAAAGTTTGACTACCACTGTTCATGCATCTTTAAGGGCATCTACTTAAGCAGTGAATGAAATGTTTAGGAGAACAGTTAATCAATAGACCACCCACAAATTAAAACCTTTTAAATGAAAGTTTCAGTGGGGCCAAGGTTTCTTAGTTTCCCTCCCTCCTCCTTGTGCACTTTGTTTTCTAGATTCTGGGGTAAACAGACCCTTCTTGTATATTACTGAAATACTGTGTAAGAGCAATTATATTCAGCTGTCTCTGCACATGTGATAGTGCTGATATCAGAAGCTACTCAAGAAGATCATGAGACCATTATGCAATTGCCATACTAAGTTCTTAGTGGGAACAGATAAAAAGGTTAAAAATTCCACATGTATTGCAACATCTGTTCTGTTTGTATCAGTCCATAAGTTAGCTACTAAGAACTGCTGACTAGCTAGCACAATTACACAACTCTCCACTGGCCATCCAAATAGCACTTCATTAGGACTGCTACTTACCATGTTATTAAGCCTCTACTTACAGGATCACAGAACAATTCTGGTTGGAAGTGACTTCAGGAGGTTTGTAGTCAAACCTCCTACTCAAAAATGGTCAGCTATGACCATTACTCAGAGCTTTATCCAGTCTAGTCTTAAAAACCTCCAAGGATCATTTACTTTTTCAGCAAAATCTATGTGTATTTAGAAGTGTGACTGTTTTGAGGAGAAAGCAGAGTTTTCCTGTTTATTTCCTCATCAGTAGATACCCAAATTAGTAACAAAGCTGGAGTTCAGTCATGAAGAAACCATTATTTACTGAAGGTGAAGATATTAAAACCTCTTAGGGGGCATGGGAATTAAAAAAAAAAAAAAAAAGGGGCTGGTTATATCAGGTAAGACTGCACATAATGCTACTACAATCCATTCCAGTGAAAACTGTTGGGGGGGTGGGGTGTGAGTTTTATAAATATAATACAGATCAGACACATCCTAGATCTGCTACAAAGTAGCTTCTGTTAGCAAAGCAGTACCAATCAGAGGACCGCAGTAATTAGTAAGTCCAACAGACACAGATCGGGGCAACAGCCAAAAAAAGAGTTATGTATGTTCCTATTCTGCTGGAGGACACAAACTGTCCTTAAAAGACTGGCAACAAAGCTACTTTAAAGAGCACATCTCTGTTGGAACGGCATATAGCATTTCACACAAGCAACCTTATGCCTCATTTTGATCAATCAGCTAAACCAGTTAGTAAACCCAGCAGTTTTCAGCTCATCACTACTGCCCACAGGGGGGCAGACAAATAAGAAGGCTACAAAGCTGCACTCAGTTCGAAGGGGGATGGTGGGGGGGGAGCAATTCCTCAATCTCAGTCTGTGTGTGAACTTTATTTCCTACCTTCTCATCTCGGAAATTGAGAAACTGCTGGAAAACTTCACTTTCTGAGACAACAGGATGGCGACACATCCTCGTCATCCAAGCTTGCAGTCTCTCCATACGCATTTTGATAAATTCTTCTTCAAAGCGCCCTGTTATACGTTGAACAGTAATTGTTACATTTCTACTCTAGTACCATCAGTGGTTTTTTTTCTTTTTTTTTTTTAAATTAAAACAGAATCTGTAATTCATCTGCTGAGTTATTAACCATTAAATGACTCAGAACTTACAAGAAGGAAACATTACGCTGACAAATCAGAACCTTAAATTACTGTATATTGGTTACTGACCAAGAGTATTCCTCCTTTTAAAGATAGTCAGGAAATATTAAAACCCCATAATATCCACTGCACAATTCAAATCAAATTTTTTTTGGGAAAAAAAATATTAATAAACTTTCAGGTGGAAAAATTAGGTATTCAGATGACTTGAGAGAAGTTAGGCACAGGCTCGGAATGCAGACATTTTTCTGATACAGTCTGGTAAATCCTTGGTCAATGTAAGGCTCAAAAACATTGGAGAAAAAGGAACTACTTGCTTTCCAAGTTGTCATGTCCTAGCTAACAAAGCATTTGAAATTGGACTACTCAGATACAAATAGCAGATTTAAAGCAGCACCTCCCATAAACATATTTCTATATAGGTAAATGAATGTGTTGGGGGAAAAAACCCTCAAAAAAATCTCAATAAATCATATGTATAAACCAGTTAGAATACATACATGTAAGACTGATTTTTTTTTTGGTAGTTAAGAGATTTTAACACAAACTATTTAAATAAGTAACCTTTTTTTTTTTTTTTAAACCAGTAGTGCATCATCACTATGTATTTACAAGAACCTTTTAGTTTTAGCACAAACTGTCTTCTTGAGGGAATCTTTTCCAATTAAAAAAAATGCATGAGGTCAGACTTCTAAAGTATACAGTGAATAGGATGTATCTGAAAGGAATGAGAGATTCCTCCAGCACCCAACTCTTCTAATTTCCATAGCAGCGCACATGACAAACCTTGAACACATGTACTCTTTCAATATAATTCCACTGTATAGTTACTATGGCAGCAGCTCCACAAGGGTGT